CCTTGTGCACAAAATTCGTGCATTGGGGTGGGGAGGGTGTCCATCAGCCCAGCCTGCATTCTCTCCCATCTGGGACCCCTCCTGGGATGTCCGACTGACAACTTAGGCCCGCTCCCTGTGGGAACAGGCCTAAAACTGGCAGTCGGACATCTCTCTCACAATCCGGGACTGCTGGCTTCCAACCACTTTTTTGCCTGGCCTGCCTGATTGCCGCCTAACCGCTTCTGCCTGCCAGCCTGATCACCCCCTAACCCAGCCATGGGCCAACTATGGCCCGCGGGCTGGATCCGGCCCATTTGAAATGAATAAAACTATTGAAAAAAAAGACCGTACCCTTTTATGTAATGATGTTTACTTTGAATTTATATTAACTCTATTCACTGAGCCAAACCTGGCCATTTTGTTGCAGCCATCTTGTGACCACCTGGGGGTGGCCATCTTGTGACCGCATGGGGGCAGCCATCTTGTGCGAGGGCGTGATGGTCAATTTGCATATTACCACTTTATTATATAGGATGATATTGCTTATAGATATACTTTACTTTGTAGACATTACTTTGGTTTTTATTCACTTATTGATTCACTGAGCAAATATTGCTCAAACATACATAATCTCTTGCCTTATGGTGATCATTAGGGATGATTTACAAAATTATTTTTTTATTTTGTGGTGGTAATATATCAATTTGTGTACTATGTAATGGTAGACATGTGTATTTATATTTAGATTCCTCTCTCTCTCTCTATATATATATAAATTGCAGCGCTTATAAAAGTTGATGTTGTGGCTAATAGATTTCAGGACTATCAAGAGAACATAGATGTTTGTTTTATCTAAGGATTTTTAATACTCTAATTTTCTCTGTTTAGTCTTTCAATAATTAGGTGTTTATGAAACATATCAGGGACTTGAACATTAGCTTAGACAAAAAAATGTAAAACAGTTGTGTTTTATTGCCCTATCCCTATCTACATCTGTTAACCATCTTCAGAAATTTACTTGTGTGTTTTATTTATTTATTTATTTTAAAATATTTTATTGATTTTTTTACAGAGAGGAAGAGAGAGGGATAGAGGGTTAGAAACATCGATGAGAGAGAATCATCGATCAGCTCTCTTCTGCACAACCCCTACTGGGGATATGCCCGCAACCAAGGTACATGCCCTTGACCAGAATCGAACCTGGGACCTTTCAGTCCGCAGGCCGACGCTCTATCCACTGAGCCAAACTGGTTACGGCTTACTTGTGTGCTTTAAAAATGTTGATTTTGCAGTGAATTCTGAGTTCACAGCTTAGTCATTTAGAGCATCCTATCTAATAATAGACAAACATGGTAATTGACTGTACCTTTGCTACGCTTCCCATTGGGTAATCAGCATGATATGCAAATTAACTGCCAACAAAGATGGCGTCTAATTTGCATACTGCAGGCAGGGTGGGACAGCGCTATCCTGCCTGCCCCGCTGCCATCTGGGCCTGCTATTTTCGACCTGGGGAGGTGTGGCGGGACAGTTCCATCCCACCTGCCCTGCTGCCATCTGAGCCTAGTATCTGCGACCTGGGGCAGTGGGCATCCGTGTGCGACCCGACCTGGTGTGGCTGGGCGGGGCAGCAGCAATCTGCCGGCCCACTCGGGTGTCCCATGTGTGACCTTGGGTAGGGCTCCAACCCCCAGATCCTCCCTGCCCTGTGCACGACTGGGGGCGGCGCCCCACCCCCACCCGCTCCAGCGCGGGATCCGGGCCTGCCATCTGCAACTGGGGGAGACGGAGCAAACACCGCAGGATTGGGCGTGCCATCTGCCACCAGGGGAGCGGGCCTAAGCCAGCATGTGGTTATCTCCTGAGGGGTCCCAGACTGTGAGAGGGCACAAGTGGGCCTGAGGGACAACCCCCCAGCCCCCCTCCCCCGCCAGTTCAAAATTTTTGTGCACCAGGCCTCTAGTGGTATTTATAAAATCATTAATTTGATCTTCTTTTGGAAACTAGTTAGCTTAACAGTTCTGCTTTATTAAATGACTGTGACCTGTTAATTCAAAAGAGATTAAGGTAACAGTTTGGTGCAAGTAATATCTATTTTTAAATTTTATCTTTATGGTTGAAAGTATTACAGGCTTCTCCCCTACATTGACCCCTTCCACCCCATTTGCTTCCCCTCCCCAGGCCTTCCCCACTCTATTGTTTGTCCATGGGCTATGCATATCCTCCTATCTAATGAAAGAGTAATATGCAAATTAACCATCACTCCATCACTCTGTCACAAAGATGGAGGCGCCCATAGCCACAAGATGGCGGCGCCCAGTCCCCTCAGTACCACCACTGAAGTGTCCAGGCCTGTTGGTCAGGCAGGTGGCAGCGGAGGCAGTGGGGGTTGGGGGGGCTGAGGGACAGACCCGGTGATCGGAGGGCACTGGGTTGGAGCCGGCGATTGGAGGGGGCTGGGGGTCCCCTGCCTAGGACTGAGGCCTCAGGCATGGGAAGGGGTGGAACTGGCCATTGGAGGGGGCTGGGTGTCTCCTTCCCAGGCCTGAGGCCTAGGCCAGAGGCCTCAGGCCTGCGCAGGGGTGGAGCCGGCGATCGGAGGGGACAGGGGCAGAGCTAGCTGTCGGAGGGAGCTGGGGGTCCCCTGCCCAGGTTAGAAGTCTCGGCCAGAGGCCTCAGGCCCTGGCAGAGGCAGAGCCGGCTTCAAGGGGATCTGGGAGTGGGCCTAAGCTGTCAGTAGGACATCCCCTGAGGGGTCCCAGTATGTGAGAAGGCCAGGCTGGGCTGAGGGACCCCCCCCTCTCTCTCCAGTGCACAAATTTCATGCACTGGGCCCCTAGTCTATATATATAAAAGGCTAATATGCTAAGTGTCCCTCTAACAAGTCGCTATGACACGCACTGACCACCAGGGGGCAGTCGTTCAACACAGGAGCTGCCATGACTCACACTGGCCGTTTACAGAGAAACAGGTGCCGACAAAACAACACCCGGCTTCCCCCAAGTAGGACACAGGCCCCACCACCACCCTGGAATGACAGCCCACCAAATTGTAGCTGATGCTGCCGAGACCCCATGGTGCAAAATGTGGCCCGCAACCCAGCCTAGCCCGGAAACGGTGGCTGTGGGTGGGTAGTGACGCCATGTAGCAACGCCTGTCTTCATCTCCCTAGTGACAGGTTGCTCTTATCTAAAAGGCCCATGGCTGTCACACCATCATGACCAAAGGAGCAGAGGCTCTTGTGGAGGGTGGGGCGGGGCAGGGCATGAGCTACTAGCGAAGGAGAGCTATAAGCAGCTGCGGTCAGGGCATGAGCTACTGGCAGTGGAGAGCTCCGAGCAGTGGAGGGCAGGGCAACAACTAATAGCGGTGGAGAGCTATGATTGGCAGAGGGCTACGAGTGGCGGAGAGCAGGGCAGTCAGCTTCTAGTGGTGACGGGCGGGGTGGCCAACTGAGGCAAGCAGGAGTGAGCTACTTGCACATGCATGCTGGGCCTCTAGTTTAACAATAAACGGCACTACGGAACTGGTGCCCACAAAGCAACACTTGGCTTCCCCCCAGTGGGACATAGGCCCCGCCACCACCCCAGAGCTACAGCCCACCAAATTTCAGCCGATGCTGCCAAGACCCCTTGGTGCAAAATGCAGGTCACAGCCCAGCCCAGCCCAGCCCAGAAACAGTGGCTGTGGGCGCTGGGTAATGATATCACGTAGCAACACCCGGCTTCCTTTCCCTAGCGACTAACCTCTTTGGAGTTTCTTCAGCCCAGAAACATGACTTGTTTTATATCCAGGTGGAAACATTTACACTTTAATAAAATGTCTGTGAAGCATTTTCCCATGCCCCATCTCATTTGATCCTCACAGAAGTCCTGGAGTAGGTAGATAGATAAGAGACTTGGCGGAATCCTATTTCCTTTTCATTAGCTGGAAAATGGAGATTTAAAAAGCTTAGAAACTTGACCTGAGTGAAAAGAAGTAAGAAATGGTGGACCCTGAAATGACTTCAGGTTTTCTCACTGCACAAATATAGTCAAACCCTGCTGCAGTTAAGTATTTTACCCTTTGTTCTTCCTGCATGATCTACAATAATAATCTGCTTCGTGTTGATATTTACTGCTGTGTTGCTGTCAATTACTTGAAAGAGAAGTTGGGTTGCTTCACTGGGCTGGAAAAAGTTTAGCTACATCAGAAAGCAGGTCTACTTAAGCAAGCTTATTCTATAACTATAAAAGGCTAAGTGGCACCGGCAAGGGCTTTATATGTATGTGTGATATATATAAAGCTCTCGTTGGCGCCAATCGCACACGTGTGTTTCGATCTATCATTGTCGATCGTGAATTTGGTTGACACTTCTAATATAGAGAAAGAGCGAATAGCAATATTAAAATATTTCTACTAATTAATTTCCTTTCAGTGTGCACTAATTTGTGCACTGGGCCACAAGTATGCATATAAGTTCATTGGTTAATCTCTCACCACCCCACCTCCCTTCCCTCTGAAATACATTGCCGGGGCTGACCGGCAGACCCTGAACCACAGATGAATGATTATTGTAACACATTTCTGTGAAAGAGAGGGCTAAGGCACTACTTGGCTATCGCTGTCAAGTAGTCCTGTTTGCCTGCCTCCGTTGACTTTTGTTGTCATAACCGCTTGAACTAAAATTAAGCCTATATACAATTAGCAGGGTAAGTATCCTTTAGAAAGTATATGCTTCTACAAGGTCGGGTCTTTAAAGACTAAACATAGAGATTCTAGTAAAACACCCCAGGGGATCGGAATTGTTTGGAAAAGTCAAGGTAGGGGCTGGGGCCTTCGGCAAGGTCCCCTCAGAGCCCCCCCCCCCAACCTTTCAGAGAATGGTCCTTACAGACTTTCCAACCAGGTCCCATGATTCCCACAATACATCAGTACGTAGCATGCTTCAACGTCTCTGGATCTTTTTTTTTTTTTTTTTCAATTTTAAAGGACATTTATTAACTGACCAGATTATAGCAGTAGCCATGGTAGATACCTTAGTTCATTCTTCTAATAAGCCTATTGATCTGATCTTCCCTGTTACCAGTATCTCCACCTTCTACAAAATGGGTGGTCTTTTTCTTTATTCCACCTCGCAGAGAAGATAACTTGAAGGGCCATAGGAAATTGTTTACTTCTTTGAAGCGCTTTCCAACAGTATCGATCTCATGAATCAGATCTTCCATGAAGATGATGCCATATTTACTAAGAGATTGAGCAATCAATGAGTTATCTGTGAGGGCAATTTGTTTTTTGATGATTTTGCCATAACCACGCTTGTAGATCAATTCATTTACTGACTTCAGGTTTGGGTACCCCCATGCAATATATGATTCCACAATCCTCAGCATGTTAATTGAAGCCTTGTTGAAGATCTGGCGAAGGCGAAGAAGCTGCAGCACCTTTCGGACCTTTGGCTCACACCATTGATACTACCTATGATCATGATGACAAATGCTAATTTGGGTTTGGCAGGTACATAGAAGTTGCCAGCTTTTCTTGCCATCCTAGCCATTCGAATCTCAGTTCTGTATATCTGTCTGTATTCCTTGTGATAGTGCTTAGCTTTTTCTTAGATGAGCTTCCTTCTTGCCTTTCGAGGCATCTTTTGGGCAAACTTCTTTCTCAGGCGCTTGATCTTCAGCTCTGCGAAATTCCTTCGCTTTTTCTTGAAGGTTTCTGGCACAGCAGGAACCTTCTTCTTCTCTTCTGAAGACTCCATGGTTCCAGTCAGAAAAGAGCTTTCTGGATCTTTTTTGTTCATCGGTTTGTTTTGTTCATCAGATTCCACATATAAGTGATATCATGTGATATTTGTTTTTCTCTGATTGGCTTAATTCTCTTGGCATAATACTCGTTTAGTCCATCCATGTTGTTTCAAAGGTTAAGAAGTCCTTCTTTTTTACAGCTGCATAGTATTCCATGGAGTAACTGTACCTCAGCTTTCTTATCTACTCATCTACTAATGCACACTTAGGCTGTTTCCATATCTTAGCTATTGTAAATAATGCTTCTAGGGGCACATATATTCTTTCTGATTGGTGTTTCAGGCTTCCTAGGATATATTTTCAGGAGTGGGATCAATGGGTCAAATGACAGTTCATTTTTAATTTTATTGAGGAAACTCCACACTGTTTTCCATAGTGGCTGCACCAGTCTGCATTCCCACCAGCAGTGTATGAGGATTCCTTTTTCTCCATATCCTTGCCAGTACTTGTAATTTGTTGATAGTAGCCATTCTGACAGGTGTGAGTTGATATCTCATTTTCATTTTAATATTCATCACTCTGATGATTAGTCACATAGAGGATTTTTTTCATATGTATCTTGGCCATTTGTATGTCCTCTCTGGAGAAGTATCCAAGTTTTCTGTCCATTTTTAATTGGGTTGTTTGTCTTCCTTTTCTTAAGTTGTATGAGTGCTTTATTAAGTCTTTTATTCATTTTGAGTTTATTCTTTTGTTTGGGGTAAGTTGGTGGTTAGTTTCATTTTTTTACATATACTTCTCTAATTATCCCAACACCATTTACTGAAGAGACTTTCTTTACTCCACTGTATGCTCTTGCCTTGATATCTGGTTTTCTTTTCTGTTCCATTTATCTGTATGCCTGTTCTTGTGCCAGTATCAGGCTGTTTTCATTATACTAGCTTTGTATTATAGCTTGATATCCGGTATTGTGATTCCCTCCAACTTTGTTCTTGTTTCTCAAGATTGAAGAAGCTATTTGGTGTCTTTATTGGTTCCATATAAATTTTTGGAGAGTTTGTTTTAGGTCTGTGAAATGGTTTTATGATATTTTCTGTGTACAATATCATGTCATCTGCAAATAACGATAGTTTTACTTCTTTTCCAATTTGGATGCCTTTTATTTCTTCTTTTGTCTGATTGCTATGGCTAGGGATTCCAGTACTATTCTATATAATAAAAGGCTAATATGCAAATAAACTGAATGGTGGAACGACTGGTCACAATGACGTGCACTGACCACCAAAGGGAAGATGCTCAATGCAGGAGCTGCCCCCTGGTGGTCAGTGCACTCTCATAGGGGTAGCTTCGCTCAGCCAGAAGCTGGGCTCATGGCTGGCAAGTGCAGTGGCAGTAGTGGGAGCCTCTCCTGCCTCTGCGGCAGCACTAAGGATGTTCTACTGATGGCTTAGGCCCTCTCCCAAACTACGAGAGGGTGCAGGTCGGGCTGAGGGACCCCCCTGAGTGCGTGAATTTCATGCACCATGCCTCTAGTGTTAAATAAAAGTGGTGAAAGGGGATATCCCTGTCTTGTTCCTGTTATTAGGAGAACTAGTGGCCCGGTGCAGAAAATACATGCACATTGAAAGGGAATTAATTAAAGGAACATACTTTGCACTCAT